GGGTTCAGGAAATCCTGTTGTGAGGCTTTTGAGGCTTGTTCTAGCCATTGAAAACCCGTTTAAATCCTCTTCACTTCGCCACCTCCAAACCAGCCATCTACATTTTAAAACGTCCCAAACCCCTCAAAAAATCGAAGGAGTTATTTTTAAAAATTGCAAACAAAAATAAAAAAAGGGGAGTCATTTTAAAAAATCTCAAATACAAGGGAGGAGGCTTCCACGGGGCGTGGCACGCTCTTACGAAGCATTTCCTCCGTTTGTCCGTAATTGGGGCCAAGCTAGCACTTCCTTCGGTTCCCTTGTGGGGGCTTGCATGCGAGCTTGGGGACTTTGCATGCATTTCGGGGAACGGCGAAAGCGTAGCGAGTCCCGCCAGCCCGACGGAGGAGGGAAATTTTATTTGTTTGTTTGTTTGTAATTGGGGCCAAATTGGGGCCTCGAGACTTTTTCATTCGGTACCGTCTTTTTTGTGGGGGTCATGCGAGCTGGGGGCTTTGCATGCATTGCGACCTGACGAACGCGGAGCGAGTCCCGACCCCCCGACGGAGGAGGGCAACTCATAGCGAGCAGAGGCACGCTCTTACCCGAAGTTCGTGTTTGTTTGTTTGTAATTGGGGCCAGTGAGACTTTTTCATTCGGCACCGTCTTTTTCCTGGGGGCTTCCATGCGAGCTTGGGGGCTTTGCATTTCGGCACCGTTTTTCGGCACGCAGCCCCCACTCTGGGCGGTCTTGTGCAACCGCATATATTGTATATATGTGGAGCTCATAGGTTCAAACACATTTGATTTCACGTATTATATACGTTAGGCATCGTGAAGCTGTTTGGTTGAAACACAAACACATATACGTCAGGCATGTCAGGATTGCCAGCTTGCAACGATTCCTGCGACCTTGTGAGCTAGGGTATATTGCTGTGTAACGGAGAGAGAGAGGCGGAGAGAGGAAAAGACAAGGAAAGCATTCTGAGGAGACACGATCTTATCAGCCATCACCGAAGTGAGATATGTGTCGACCACCCTTCATGATGCCATACATGGACAGAAACAACTTTGACTGACTGGCCAGTCCATCGGTCTTACTAAAGTAAAAGCACTCTGACTCTGGGACTTACCGCCCAGCGGATCCTCTATTCAGCTAACTACAGGAAAGGTCCTCACCGGCCTTTTCGCACAAGGCATCGTGAAGCTGTATACTTTTCAATCATGCATTTCGCGACGCGGAGCGAATCCCGACCCGCGACGGAGGAGGGCAACTCATAGCGTAAGGGCACGGATTGCTGCTGTGGTCGCTTGCCTGCCTGATAAGGCTGGAATGAATGGAGGCAATATACTCATCTCGATGCGCCACGTCAACCAGCTTGTGTTGCTGAGCGGTGTATGTGGTGACCTTGTGTCTCTGAGTGGCCAGCGGACTTGAGACTGATGGACGATGGGACAATGAACAATGAACTTTGACTGCGACTGCATCCATGTATGCACGCACGGTTCTCTTGTCCTCCGTTCAAACGCCCTCAGACACAGACGCAACCAACCATCCCCCACCCACCACCACTCTCCCACTCATCTCTTTCTACCTAGTCTACGGACTCAGGGCAAGGGCGCCAGCAGCAGCCGTTGTTGCAATGGGTGCCTGCCGAGGTCTGCCGATCCAGCCCTCATCTGAATAGACATACAGAAATGGGAAGATGAGACGCCAAATCAACTGCACATCATGAGCCTGTGCCGTGCACGACCCACCCCCATAGACCTCCTGTGCTCCCTTGGCCGCCACCGTCTTGGCCGCCAGTAGGGGCAGTACCGCTCCCCACCTGCCAGCCTGCAGCTGCTGACGTTGGCAGCGCTCCCCGACGCCCACGCGCTCCGCGCCCATGGCTGCGCGGGGCCTGGAAGGGGCATGGTGGTGTGAGGTGGCGAGGGCCGCTGGCTCCTGAGCTGCCGTCGGTGGGTTGGGGCAGGCCGCCGCTGAGCGCCAGTTTGGCTGCGTCGATGGCCGCCCTGAGCTCTTTGATGTGCGTCCTGAGCTGTTGCAGCTGAAGGGCTTGTTCGGCCAGCTTGGCAGCAACCATCTCGAGGCTGCACGCACCACCACATGAGACTGAAGGCACATAGGCACCAATAACACATGAGTGCATGACAATACTCCCCGGCCCTCTCTCTCTCCCCGCTGCTCACATGTCTGTGTCTGGGTGCTGAGGCTGATCTCGCCCCTCACGCCAGAAGCAAGCGTCAGTGACGCGTACAAAGGCAGAGAGGCCGGCGCTGGCACCAGAGAGATGCCTTCTGCTCGTCATTCACGACCTGTCGTCAGTTGTGTCCAATCGGCATAAAGTCTTTGTTTCTCAATGTAGTAAGCCACATGTGGAAAAGGCAGCAAAGTAGACGGAAGAAAGCAGCACACTGCCCACCATCCCACCCACCCAAAAGGGGGAGCTCCGCAAGCGACAGCTTGCGGCAAAGAGAGAGGGCAGATGAGGGACGGCCTGTCGGGGTGAAGCCGAAAGGATTGGCGTGTTGAGGCTCGTTTGGTTAGTGATAGAGACTCGTTGCGGACGAGGGGACAGCTACGGGCGGGCGAAGGAGAGGCGGGAAGACGAACACACGACGACGGAAACCCGGGGAGGCATCCAAGCAGCTCGTTGAGATCCGGCTAAGAGATAGCAGGCCGCTCGACCCCCAGCCCCCCTTCTCTTGGCTGCCGTGACCGGGTAGACTTACACACGGCCCGTCACGATAGTGGACCCAGGTCCTACCACGATGTGATAGTCGGGTGCCGAACTCTCGTAGCGCGTCAGACGCCGCCTGAAGTCGCGCCAGTAGAAGACTTCTGCCGAAAGGAAGGCGTAGCTGGAGTCATCTCGCTCATCCACCGCACATGTACCCAAAAGAAAAGAACAACTCGCCCGCATCGAGGAGGCCGACCACAAGGCCTGAACCAGCGCCACCACAGGGAAGCAGCCGAAGAAGAAGAGCGGGATAGCCAGAAAACCTCCAGGACGCGGGCAGTTCCACGGCAAGAAGGCAGAGGGCAGCCGTCGAGGGGTCATCCGCTGCAATAGGCCAGCACGCGCGACGCTGGACTCGCGGCTGATCTCCTCCAGCATCATCACACGCCGGCGGCCGGCAGCAGCATCGCCATGACGCAGACAGTTCGTATATAACTTCTCCTCTGACCTATGTACATGGGAGGGGCAGCGATACAGACGCAGGGGGAGTCACAGGCACCTCACAAAAAAAAGGAAAACGACTGCCATGGTGCGCCGAACGAACGAACGAACGAACGAACGAACGGACGGCTGCACTCCACGGGGGCACGGGAGGGAGGATGGACGGTGGGGAGGGGATGCGGGCGCGCTGCGAGCTTCTGAGCTCGCGCCCTTCTTGAACTGCGCCTGCGCCAAGCAACGAACGAAACTGCCAGGATCGAAAGGTTGAGTCGGGGCGACACTCGGGGGAGCCTGGGTGATGGCCTACAACCTCCGCAGCACTGAAGCAAGACAGGCCAGGGACTACTATGCGGGGAATGTGAGGCAGCTCTTCCAAGAAGCCAATGGCCAAGAAGCCGACGAACCGAGCCAGCAGACTCAGGGCGGCGCACTATGCACTGTCTGTGCAGAAGAGCTGCACGGCGACGCGTTGCACCGCCTCCCCTGCCACCCAGACACA